GCCGATGAAAGACTATATGGGAAGATTCAAGTATTAAACAGATTCAGAACTAGGCAAACACTTAGAAAAGTGTCAGCAAAAGAAAATTTGATTAAAAGCACCTGACCAGACTGCCAAGGGCTACTCCACAACTAATGAGATCCCTACATAGCACGTTAACAGTTCTCAAAGACAAGAACATGATGGATGGTTTCTAACAGATATCCCTACAGTTACCACATTTGAATAAAAAGCAGTTTTAAACATTTGATGGGCTGGCATAGACAGCTGGCCTGTAATTTAGCCCAGAGCACCTAGAGAAAGCCCAGATATGCAAAACCCAGGAGCACAACCCCAAGTTCTGTGAAACTCAAGGAAGAATCAGATCAGAAATAACCCTGAGAAATAACTTTATCAGGTTTCACAAGGGATAAACCGAGTCACCTGTCCTGAATATATGCCATATACCTCTTACAAAGGAATAGCTTAAGTAAAAGATAAGCTTTACTGCAATTTTTGTTGCCATATATCATAGATGCTGTACTCATTATTTTGTCTGTAATCATTACCTCCTTTAATAATGGAATTTTTTCACAGGGTCCCTGCAGTAAGTTAAAAGTTTTACAGCTATAATAAAGGAAAGATGGGAATCAGACATCAATTCACTTCAAAGGAGACAATGCTGAGAAATCTCAAATATGACTATCCATTAACTTACCTCAACTGCACCCTACTTTTAAAAAGCATGTCAGCTGAAGTAAGTGCTAGACTAGTCTTATATTTCAAATTGTTAGATTACATAAATAAAAATAAGCTTGGCTACGTGGCACTTCCTTGCAAGGAGAAACTGTCACAGTCCCAGAAGACAGATTTCAATGGAATGAAAGTCAAAGTCTACACTTCCAGAGCTCTCTGCAACCGGGCAGTCAGTGCGTAACAAGGGACAAAGGACCAATCCTCACACCGTGAGAGTCTTCATTTTAATGGGTAGATAAAGCTTCAGAAAGAGAAAAAAAAGTGAGGCACAGATGCTATGAACACCACCAAACTTTTATGAGAGTCCACCACAGAATGTGAAACAAATTACCAGGGATCAGGTAGCAGGGTATGTTTCTGTTTACAAATTAAAGAGAGAAAAAATTGAGAGCACCAAAAATGAAGAGAGGACCTGGAACACCCTTTAGGGAAAGCCAATCTCTACAGGTTAATAAACATGATGGAAAAAGGAACCTTTGAATGACTTTTCCTTTTCTACGCTGGCTAGAATACGGCTCGCCTGCTGAGATCCTATGACAGCTGATTTCCTGCCCTTGCTTCAGTCATATATGCATCACTTCTGTTGGCATCCCTTCATGAGCAAGGACAGGCATTTTTTCACCTGATCTCTCTTACATGTTTGGCTATGACAACATTGCACGTATATCAAGCCAGCTTTAAATGAGCAATCATGGCTGTCCATCTGCTGCAGCACAGAGCCTGGCGCATACAGCCTGAGAAGCAGCAAGCTGACCTGTCCCATGCTGCTTTGGTTATTTCACCTTCACACGAGCTGTTTAAGTTAAAACTCACGCGGATATGCCCACGCTACAAGGCAGCTACATCAGTGGTTGCATTATAGATAAAGTCAAAAGAAAAGTTACCCCACGTTCGTATAGCCCCACCGATTCCAATTAGGAAATATGTTTATTGGCCTGTTCATGACTTCTGTTGAAAAGTACTGAGTGGGTGCTGACTACCCATTCTGACATCCTTAAAAACACATGCAACACGAGTTTTATGAAGAATGTACAATATTTTGCTTTGATTTCAAATCTTTTATTCAAGAATAGTCAAAGCACATTTTTAAGACTGCAGCGCATTCACATAAGTCCCTTCTGTGAGATAAGTCAGTATATAAATGAGAGCACAGAGCTGTTTACCCCAAGGTTAACTGAGCACTCAGGTTTGCCTTTCACTGAAAATTTAGCTAGACATTCTGTGCAGCAATGCTTTTGGACTAAGTAAGACAAATAAAGCAGTGATAATCTCCAAAGGTTTAAGAAGACTCCAAAGAGAATTTTTTACATCAAGCTGTCAGGAGAGATCACTGCAGGATAAATGGAAACGGATACAGTCTGACTGCGATGGCGCAGCGACAAACACTAATCCAGCGCACAAGAAATGACACTGCACCCTACACATACAAAGGCCTCCTGCTGGGATAATGAACTTAAATCTTTTCTGGGCTTGCATGAAAAGTTCAAGGCAGATCTATGAATTATCTGAGAAAAGCCAGTTAAAGCCTCCTCAAGACCTGCTTCCTCAAAGAGGTATTTTCCAAGGAGGCTACATATCAAAGGCTGCCCAAAGACATCAGCTAATGCTTATGGCCACTGCATCTCAGCGTTGCTAGAAGCTGACTATTTACTAGAGAATAATGTGACCGTTTACATCATCTACTGACAAAACATGAGCCATCATCCTGAGAAACAAGCCTGGAAAGGCCATGTTCTGACCCCACTCTATCTTCTTCTCCTAGACCAGGATAAATGAAGTCTACCATTGCTCATCTGGGCAGCAGAGCTCAGCATTTCATGCTGCCTGTTTTAGAGAACCAGAGAAAGGATTAATCCACCTTCCAGTAGGAATGTCTCGTCCCTGGGAAGTTGTGATCCTTGATGGCCTCCTGCAACATGGCTATTCTGCCCTGCTATCCCTGTGCTAAGCACTGTTAGTCAGCACCCACAGTGGTCAGAGTCAGTCCCAAGCACAGCCAAATGCAGGAGGTTTTCCATGCAACGTGCCCATGCACTTCTGCAGAAGCATTCCCTCCCTGTCAGAGGCTAGTGTGTAGTAAACAACAGAAACCTCCTCTTCCTTGGCCTCCATCTACAATCTCATACTATCCCTCAAGGGATATGATAAAGGGTGCTTATAAGAAAGATGGGGACAGACTTCTGAGCAGGGCCTGTAGTGATAGGACAAGGCGTAATGGTTTTAAAATAAAAGGGGGTAGATTTAGACTAGATACAAGGAAGAGATTTTTCACAATGAGGGTGGTGAAACACTGGCACAGGTTGCCCAGAGGGGTGGTAGATGCCCCATCCCTGGAAACTTTCAAGGTCAGGTTGGACAGGGCTCTGAGCAACCTGATCTAGTTGATGATATCCCTGACCACTGCAGGGGGGTTGGACTAGATGACCTTTAAAGGTCCCTTCCAATCCAAACTATTCTACAGTTCTATCATTGCCCAACCTGTCTCAATTCCCTACCAACAATTTAGTGAGTAGTTTCGAAAAATGGTTGAGCCTTACCAGTTTCCAATGAATCGGGGATCACTCTGGTCAATATAAACAGTTGTCCTAGGATCAACATAGAAACCAATAAGAAGTCCTCCTAGTAAGTATCCAGCTGCAGGACCAAGCGCTCCCATTACGTACATGATGGCTGAGGAAATAGAAGATCAGAGTCGTACATCAATAAAATAATGCTTCATTAGCTATTTACAAATAAAAAACAAAAGTAAAAGATGCCACTTAAATCAGGGAGTTTTATAACCCAAAACCTTCAGAGTCCTTTTTTGCATCCTTCAGAGGCAGCAACTTCTGCATAAATAACATATTGATAAGAAAATTACTGCTTTCTGTACATTTTCAGTCAAATCATGGATGCAAGTATATACTACTTTTGTATTTTGCATGGAAACCATACTTGACTTTGACAATATTTTTCATATTTGGTAACATTTCCTTTAAATCAAAACAAAATTCAACACATAAATAGAAAAAATATAATTAATGGTAAGCAAACAGAAAAGCAAAGGATAAAAATTGTCTAAGGCACCAAAGAACAAAGTGTAATGTAACAGCTTAGTTTCCATCAGAATAACACTGGATTTAAAAGAACCATCAAAGTTAAGAAGTCAAATATTCCTATTCCAGAGGTTGACAGAATTATGTTTTTATCTGTGTTGCCATGAACTTGCCCCTGTTTTACATACTGACACCAACAGACCATATATACTGTATTTCCTCTAAGACTCCTGCCTTGTTCAGAACATTTGATCATTTAAATTTAAAATTTTAATGCTATTTTAAAAGAAATTTCCTAATTTAAAAAGTGATTAAAATGAAAATAAGTTTCTTGTGTGCAACAACACAGACACATGTTTTACAACATTATCACTGCCTGAACATTGGATTATCACTTGGAATAACAAAGTAGGAGATAATAGAAGGTTCCTATCTGCTGTGTCTTCTACAAGATACTCTTCAGACTGCAGTCTCCAGTCCTGGTACTTCAGCCATCCACACCTGGGTATGTGTGAGAAAACATCGCAGGTCCCCTTTGGCTTGCATGCCAGCGCTTTCAGGAGCAAGGGAGAGACAGATGGAAGACTACATCTCAGCGTGGGGCTAAGATGCAACTGGACCTGGGACCCAGGAAAGCTTTCTGCATCTCCCAATAGAGCTATAGATGTGAGACACCAGCAGGAGCAGACTAAAACATCTGGTCTGTTTGCTGACAAGAACTGAGTGTTGAGATTTAGGAATCCTGTTCTCATTTCCAGGTTTTGAAAGGTGGATAATTTAAAGGCTGTCATTTGTTTGTCCTTAAGTTCTTGCCACACCTTTCCTTTTCTACTTCTGCAAATCCCAAATCAATTTTTGAACTAAGCCAACGACAGTTATCCAAACCTTAAATTCAGACACCTTTTACAAGAACCATATGATCTTGACTACACCATCAAGACCATAGACATCTTCCAAAGATTTTTCTCTTATTCTCCTACTTCATCTCTTTCCTTCCTTAATGCATCCTGCAGTACTCATCCCTTCTAGGATCTTCTGCCCTGCTTCCCGTACTGTCTGGCTGTAAGCACAAAAGGCAAGAGGGGTGGTACGGGATGGTCTCTGCTCATATCTGGTACCACCAAAACCCAGCTTCCAGCAGCACAACACCACCTGCTCAGCTGCTGCAGACCCACTATGCAGCACATGAAAAAACAACTGATTATCTAAGCCTCTGAAAACATCACCTTCACTGCAAAACTCTATCTCCACATGGTTTCTGTGGACCAGTCACTCTCGGCAGTAGGCAGACTCCATCCTTTTTGGCCCCATCCTCAATCAGACATACTGCGTCCTAGACTGCAGCAGCTGAGGAAGCATAACTGAGTTGTTAGGGCTTGGGTTGCTGCGTTACCAGTTATAGTAAATTATACCTCACAGATAAAATAAGCAAAAAGAAATCACAAAATCTGCCTGATTAAACCAAAATAACTTGTCCATTTTCATCTTATGCTTTGAAAGAAGAAAAAGAAGAAAGAGAACGTTCTCATGAGTAAAAAGAGGCTGCTATCTGAGAGCTATCTTGCAGGGAATAAAAAAAAATCACAGAAGCTACCACAAAAGGTAAACTGCCTACAGTAAAAAATGCTTCCAGGCTATAAATTGATTAAACAAATTTATCACTTTTAAATTACTCTTTCTTAAACACATTTTCAGTTTTTATGAAACTGGAATTTCAAATAATTAGATTTTGCTGAAGTCCCTTTTGCATAATGGTTTCCAGAACCATGTTCACTATTTAAATTTATTCTAGCCATGTTCCCTTCTAGATTGATTGTAAACAATTCTCTGTATGCCTAAAATGTTCCATCAGACATTGTAACATTGCTCCCTAGCAGTAAGCAGTTCGATAAACCCCACAGGAACTGTTACTTGCAAAATTCACATCATGAGGAGGCAGGGAAAAAAACCCAAACTCCATCCACTATAATAAATTTTGTTCAATAGATGTTTGCCTGGAAAATTGATTCACACAACTACAGCAAACTCAGGTCTCTAGAAAGTTTACAGAGGAAACACAAAGGGACTAAAAGAGTGACCTAATCCATTCATTTCGGTACTCAGAAAAAATACTTATGCCGTATTTATTCAGCTTCAAATCCACCACTGACACAGGCAAAATGCAGCAACTGCTTAGGCTTAGAAGCACTACCCCGGTGGTGTATTTTGTACACCTGGTAACTTCAGAGGTTTTTCTTCATCAGCAGAAATACTGTACAGTAAAGATAAAAATAACAGTGTACGCTGTTCTCTGTTAGAGGAGGGAACGCTGTTAACCATTTCAGAAGTATTTTAAAATTACTGCATGCTGTTCAGGCTTCAATATTTTTTTTTAATGTAACTTACAGGCTACATGCAGCTTTCTGGATCTTTCAGAAAACGGAAACCACCCACATGCATGGTCCAGGGCAGGAGGAAACCTGTGAGTACCTGAGTTCCACGACTGTCATTTTAAGACACCATGCAATATCTTCCTCAGCATCTAGTAATAGTCACTATCAGAAAAGGGACAGCAAGTACAATAAACTGATTTGGACTTCTAAAACAGGACTAAAGATAGAGCATGGCAAGTAAAAGGTTTTGATATTTCAAAATGAGGTACTTGAAAAAAATCTGCCCCAAACCTCCAAACTTTCCTGTGGAAGTGAAGCCATCTCCAAAGAATCACCTTGACAGGATGCTTGAGGGCCCTGGACCACTGAAATTCTGGTCACAACCCTCACAGCTATACACTCCAATGTCCGTGAATAAAGAGGTTCCCGATTCCCTAAAAGGCCACTAAGATGACTGGATGATATGGAAAGGAAACTAAACTGGAAAGAGATTCAGTCAGGACATCATCAAAACTGAACCCACTTCACAAATAAAAAATTCTATGGAGAACTGTTCCATAATTTTTTCCATTCAGGTCACTAGAAGGTCTCCAGCTTCTGCATGAAAAAGATTCTGAAACATGTAGATGATGTAGAAGCACCTTCCTTTCAACCTCCTACCTGGCATTTCAGCTAGCTCTTTTTGGTCCTCCCTCTTAGGGCCATGATCTGGGATCTTGATCTAGGGAGTTGCACTGATTCAACAGCTGATAAGTTTCAGCAACAGAATTAACAAACATTTTTATCAGGGGACTTCCTGGAGTACTGTGATGCAGAGGCAGGCCACATAGTATCCAGACGATTTTCTGAATTGCACTTAAGGAAATCCAGGATCTGTCTATTAACCTCCCAGCCATAACCTTGACTGGTGCTTACATTTGCAAGTTGCCTTCAAATTTTTTTGTCATAAAAAGCTGTGTTACAAAATAGCAGTAATATCTCCTTTCCCATGATAAAATAGATATTATGTACATTCTACAATTTATAGCTCTACTCCAAATAATAGATCTTCAAAAAATACGGAAACTATTGTTAATATAGACATATGGGCTACAACATTCACCTGATTCTATTCTGATTGGTTTTCATTGAAATGAAAAATCGTACTTCTCAGAGTTACTGCATTAGCCATGCCTGTTCAATGCTAGCAAGTCTCTGAGTATACTTCTCTGGAAACGTGGGTCTTCTGGGAAGGAGCATCTGCAGATCACCCACTCCTAGCTGAATGAGAGCCATCTGAGGACGACTCATTATATGCAACACAACTAGCTTAGACTGGACCTTGCAAGAGTTTTTGCCCAGAAGCCTGTCACAGCTTGCTGCTGCTGTGATGTAGGATCTTAAGTCTTCAAACCAAAGCACAGGGTAATCTACTAAAATTACATGGCATTTAAACAAGACAATTCCAAAGACCAAAGACCTTGCAGATTCTTTGAAGTTTCCTTTTCTCCGAAGAACTCAGTGTTGTGGGAAGGAGTTGGCATTAGCAAGCATACTTCCTCCTCTGGGTGCATCTTCTCTTCGGTGGCGAGGGATAGCCTTTCTCAGCCCTCCCAAACCTGGTCTTTCAGGCCATAGTTCAATCACTGACATAGACTGTAGATAAGTCAAAATATCCTGGTTCAGAAACAGTTAGTTAAGTGCCTATTTGCCCCCATGATATCCAGCCATGGTTATTTTAATTCCTTTGAAGTTGTGTACCTGAGGAGCTTCCCTGCCTCACTGAGTATGCCCTCAGCATGATATATTATCTCAGGCACAACACCATACTGGCAAGGCTGTCTAGTTTCAAAACTGCAGCTGGCTATGGCTAGCCAGGCTTAGTCACAAACATCTATCACAGTGAAGATGCTGGATGAGAGAGTCAAAAGGAGTCAAGGCAACAGTAATTGAATTACACATGGAATTTACCTACCAAAGTAAAATAAGATTAAGCAATGTCATTCTTCTCCACTGAAAAGTTTATCCCGGGACATGTTGCAATGAATGTTGCCATTTTGGCAAAATGATAATATTGTCTATTGCTTCTATTCATAGGAGATTCTTCTTCAACAGAAGAAACAGAAGAAAGTTTTACATACAGCCTATTCCAGCAAAGTCTCTATGACGACAATAAGATGGACTAAATCCTCTATGGGTCCCAAAACCCCTGTGTTCAGATCACATGCATTAAATAAATAACTTTGTTGCCAAATATTTTTTTTAATCTACCCACACTC